CCATACCTGGTTCATTCATCATCTTTTGAAGCTCCAGATCCAGCTCGTGTAACCAGTCAGGACACATCTATACCAAGCATCTGAAAACCAACTCCTGCAACGTGTCAGGTACTCATGTTTTCTTTTGCAGGTATGCAGGTTCTCGCTAAGGAATCTCCTACGCAATCAACATCCAGATGGCATCTATAAGCCCATCATCCTATCCAGCAATCTCCAAATGGCATCTATAAGCCCATTCCATCACACTGCCAACATGTGAGCGCAAATTTCTGGGCACTCTAGTGTTCAATCATCTTCTACCCTCGGATTACGAAAGGCACGTCAGCCAATCTGCATACTCAGGTCTAAGAAGATTGAACAGGGGCAACTGTTGTACCCCAAAATTTTCCCTCCCATATTCTTCAAGAAATTGCCAAGCCAAGTCACAAAATTCCCCCAAGGGTTGCACAGTCAAACAGTCTCCTATACAGTCAAAACTAGGGTTTGGGTTCTGATCAAGAAAATGAAGTTTTCAAAGGCCCAATCAAGTCTCATATGCTTACCAAGATGGTCAAGCATCCTCATATCAAGTTTCAAGGCATTCAGCTCAAAATTGCACAGTCAAAACCCTAAATTGCACTACAGTCAACTGTAGGGGCAAAATGGTCATTTGACAGTCAAAAGTTCAAATTTTTGGTCAATATATCATTTTGAAGCCACAAACATCATTTGATCAATGCTTGATCATGATTCTCAAAATTTGGCTCAGAAATCATCAAAGATGCAAAAGTTACTATATTTGGACAGTTGAAAAAGTCAACTGAAATTGACCAGGGCATAACTTTCACATGGATTATCAGAAAAATTCCATCCAAAGCTCATTTTGAAGAGAAAGACATTTCCTACAACTCATCTTCATACTTCAAGTCCAAGAAATGCTCTCACAAAAAGTTATCAATTTCAACATTATAGGTCATTTTCAAAAGTCAACAAAAAGGGACTTTAAGTCAAAGGCCATAACTTGATATTGGTAAATCAAAATGACATGGGACCAAAGACATTGGTTAGAGGACTCAAAGACCTTTCCAAAATGTCCAAGAACATGAGAAAAGCGTAAAAATTGAGCAAGTTATGCCTTGTGGAAGTTGGGAAATTTTTGGATATTTTGAAAAGTCAACATTACTTCAAATGACCTAAAAATGCTAATGGGCCCATTTTTCTTCCATGATTCATCATTCCAAGCCTATGCACGACCACTTGGCCCAAAGGGAAGTATTTTCTCATTTTTTATTTATTTATTTGAATTATTATTCATATTAATTCATTTAAATTATGTAAATATATGAAAAATACCTAACTTGACCTAAAAAATCTTTTCATGCATGTTTTACCCTCAATATCTCGTGCACATCCCAATATGGCAAGATTTGGTTTGATTTGAGCATGATTGAACAAAAAATACACTTGAAAAAGATTCAAAAAGATCTTAAGAAAATCAAATATGCAAAACCATTATTGCATTGGATTTTATTGAATATTTTTGACCTAATAGCCTCAATACATAAACAGGAATCAAACCCTAATCACAAGACACGCTAAGCTGCGCTAAAGAACTCATTAGAAACTTGAAAAAATTCCTTGAAAACAAAATTCTGAAATCATTGTTGGAGGACGATTCAAGCCTTAATCTTGATTCCAATAGCTTGCTCAAGGTCTATTGAGTGTATTTCAATCAGAATCATTCATCCAAACGCTAAGAACTGGTAAAACGAACCTCAACTGTATCAAGAAATTTTCAGAATCGTGCATCATGATTTGTGCATAATTTGCAATTTTTGTCTCTTGATTCATGTTTGTTATGAGTTTCTGCAACTAACCATGCAAATTAATTTCGTTTTTATGCCATATACGTGATTTCACCATGATCAATCTTTAGGGTTTCCAGAGCTTGAATTTAGGGCTTCTGAAACCAAGCAAAATTAGTCCACGAAGCCATGACCATTCAAACCAGCATGCTCCAACGAACAAGAACCAGTCATCGCGATCAATTTATGATCCCTACAGCGCTAGTCGCTATTTTCTGGAAACATGCCTAAAACCACGCTATGAAAACCGTTGCTATTGTGTTTTGTTTTGCAGGGGTGGTGAGGACGATGATGTGGTGGCAACCAGTGATTCGTTGGTTTAAAAGTTCGCGCGTTTTCCAGCACTAACGCGTTGTTTCTTTTATTATATTAGTTGTATGTTTAATTAACAAATACGTGTAGTGGCTCAGCTGGCAGTTGGTGATTGCAATAACGTCCAAGACCTGGGTTCGAGTCCCAGGTCTGTATATTTCTCATGTTATTTTTCATTAACCATTCATGTGCAGCGCTTATGATAAGGCACACCATGCATCTTCATTATCCAACGTCCACGCGTCCCTGATGACCAAACCAAAGGCACAGATCTAAGGAGCACGCTGTACCCTAGTCCACGCTTCAGCATACGATTCAAAAAGTCAAACGGATTCAGGATATTTTGGGCCAGATTATTCAAAACACCTCCATATTGGGGACCTCCACCCCCCTTGGTTTGCAAGTTTTTTTTTTATTTTTCTTATATCTTATTTTTAATTATTATTTTATTTGTTTTATTGTTTTAATTTAATTCATTATTTTTACAAAATATAAAAAAACTTCATAAAAATCAGAAAAAGATAAAAACATAATAAAATATTTAATTTTCATATTTTCTTGTAAATAATTGCATGTAAATAAATTTAGTATTAAATAGGTTTTAATTTTAATTCTTTTTAATAACTAAAAATCCAAAAATATAGAATTTAGGTTTAATTGTTAATTTTATTCTTCTCAATTCTTCCTTTTGTTATAATAATAATATTACTTATTTTATTTTCATAATTAAATTGTACATAAAAGAATTTAGGTTTAATTTAGGTTATATTTTAATATTTTCATAACAAACTTAATATTTTAATATTTCCAGATCCACCGATCACAACTACCCTATATGCTACCTAAAGGATGAATATCCCATCCAAGTTCATGACCCTACCGACCAAACGCATGAGTATCGCGGGCAAGATCATGAATCATATGCCTAAAACCTATGAACGTCTCGAGCACGACCATGAGTCAGGCGCCTAGCGCGCTTAAATCACTGGGCATAACTTTCAGATACAGGTTTCTATTATCAAAACGTCATCAAAGCTATCTACAACACAGGGAAGCGGGAAGAAAGGATACTTACTTGGAAGAAGATGCATAGAAACAACGGCCGTGGGAGTAATCGGACGGCGCACAGCGCGACGGTCTCAACGGCGTTACGGTAACCAACGAATATAAAAACAGAGAAGGTAGGAGGAGCGTGAAGAGGTGAAACAGACTATGGGCCCAGGGATCCTATTTATAGAGATGACGTGGAATGCGAAACGTCGCACCGGGGAACCATGAACCGCCCTCGTCCTCGACACCTACTCACCTAGACAATAATGGCCCTATTTACTAGGGCGGCGCTGCGATTTCCAAGGACTATGCCACATGTCCGACGGACGTAGCTGATGCATCCCCGCGAGCGATCCCCGAGTACATCTCGAAAGGGAAAAGCTTTGAGTCGGGCACGAGGTCCCCGCGAGAGAACAAACTGAGATCAAGTCATAACTCTTGTGCCAGGAACAACGACTTGGGGGGCTCCTGTTCTGGACTGGACTTGCCTTGGCCCAAAACACAAGTAAAGGCCCAGATCCAGGCAGTTCCTCGAGTCGTGCTCGGAATCAGACCACCCCGAGCATACCCAGTCACAGACCACAACGGTTATGCCCGCTGCTACCCGCAACGAGCAACGTCCCCGACCAAGGACACTCCAACTCGAGTCTTGCTCGAACATCCTCCCCGTAGGGCAGACTCTGTCCTCTCTGAATGCTATGGGATCCTTAAAGCTCCGGGAAGACCGCGTCTTCGTTCTTCCTCATTCTTCGCAGAGCACCATCCAGGAAGGAGACCACGTGCGGGTCCCCACTACACACGTAGAACCTGGCAGTCCCTTTGTTGGGTCAGTTCTGGTCGATCCAATAAAGGGACCTTGGCCCAGCGCTGGGGGCTATAAATACCCTCTACTTCAAGAGGGTCAGATATTCATTCGTTACGCACCTACATATTTTTTGCCTGCTCATTCCGTCTCTCATTTTATCATCGGAGTGTCTTGTAAATACTCCCCCCATCTCATTCAAATTCAGTTCGAGTCCGCTGTGACGGTCCAATTCTGATCCGGGAAGATCAAGTTTGTTACTCACTTTTCACACAGTGTATTAGGTAAACTCCTTGTATTTTTTATTATTTATTCTTAATAATAAAGAATGACGAGGTTGTTTAGAAGATTCTCTCTTCATTACCAAGTAACACACTTCATTGTTAACATAAAGTAATAGATAATTATTACTTTATTAGTTAATCAATTAAGGATCCCTTAGTAAAAAAGGAATATAAATAGCATGCATGATACATACAAACTACAATTGTGGAAGAGCAAAACCATTGACGGCAGCACGAGGGTTAGGTGAGATCAATATTAGGGGGACGTGACATTAGACCTATTTCTTATTTTTGAATTCAAAACCAATATTTTCAATCATGAAAGAATTGTAACCCTTTGTGGGGCCTTGTTTTATAGCATTGTGTTGTAGTATTGGTGCGACTTGCTAGTCACTTTTCCGATGGTGATAGTTAGATAATGCATTTCCTAGTATATTGCATTGCACTGTTTGTCTTGTTTGAGTAATCAAAAGAATATCCTAGAAGCATTGCCGGTGAATAATTAAAAGAATATTAGTAAAAACAATTGGGCTTAAAAAAAGGCCCAAATTTGCCTAATGGGGAGCTAATTCCTTCAGCTCTACTAGTTATGTACTGTAAACTTGCAATTGTTTCTGACAGAACATACAACATTTTCCAGATAGCTACTCTCGATGATGTGTTTCCATCTGGTTTTATCGATGTTAACAGAGACAGCAAATAATCTGTTCACATCAAGATACGGAGAACAGCAAGACCAACAGCAGAGATTGAAACAAGTGTTCCTATGCAGTACTTTATGACCTCGTATTTAGCTGCTTCCAGTTGTGCTCTTAAAGAATGAATCTCCTGAACAAGTGAATAACATGACACAAATTAACTAAGGCAAAAAGACTTTTCCAATTATCGGCATGAGGGGAGAAAGTTACTTCGTATGTGTTTCTTTGGATGAACATTTGAAAGTTTACTCTCAAATCAAATACATGCTTACCCTATCTAGTTTGTTTGTCAGGTTGTTAGTTTCAGCACTCTGATTTGACAATTCCTCCCTAGTTCTCCTGCAAATGCAGAAAACTATCAATCATAGCAGTGGAAACAATAATTTCAACAAGTTCTGTAATCTTTGAAAAACACCACATTTATTCTTCACTTACCCCCTTTCAAGGTTCAAATCCAACCGCTGCCCAGCAGTGACCTTGTCCATTTCATATCTGCGTCACAAAAACCATATGATCGCACCATAAAACTCATAACAAATCAAATCGGCACAGCTATGGTGGTTGATCAAGGCTAATTGCTAAAACTAAAAAAATATACTAGTACCTCAATTCACTGCGCATCTTCTCTATGTCATTCCTAAGCTTCTCAGTCTCATGTTGCAACAGAGAAAAATGGTGCCCCTGAATCATAAGTTTTTCAGCATATACAGCACCAGGAAAACAAAACCAATCTCATCAATAAATCAAATGGATTAATTCAAACGAAAATTACAAGGATAAAGAAAAATAGAAAAGTGTGGCCAAGAAAAAAACAAAGCATAATAGTTCCATTATAAGACAGATCCCCTCCCAGGCCCAGCATTAATTTCTTAACATAATGCAATATAACCAACCTAACTGACATAGCATACACATATTCTCCAACCATTAGATTTACTCTCCTAAAGAATTGATTTAATAGATAAGCAACAGATGTGTGTTCTCCGCATATCTATGAAGTATTATTTTGATAAGTATTATTAACACATGGAGCATAGAACCAGAGTTTCCAAAAAAAAAAACATAAGGAGCATAGTAGGATCTTTCAATTTGGAAAAAGATAACATCATATTTTCCCATGATTAAATGAGATAAACCTTGAGGAAGATCACAATCAATGACCCAAGAATCCTATCATAGCAACAAACACGCCTGAATTGTTTTAATAGCACGGAGTCACAAACAGCCCATTTGGCATGATGATCTTCAAATATAAAAGGTACCAGACAAAGAGATTTAGTGAATTTTCATGTCTCTTCTCTTGATTAGAATTGTGCTCAAATTCCTTTGTTTTCTACACTATATGGTTTTACAAATATCAGATGTTAGCAAGCTTCCCCGTTGATGTTTTGAAAAAGTCTTGATTATCTAACGCAGCAGAAAGTTAATACTTAAGATGAATATAACAGGATTAAAGAACACGGTAATGACAAATGTTTGAGCAAGAACAATATCTCACATCAGAAACTTTGTCTAAATCCCAAAATTGAATTGGATCAAAAAACCCAATAATGAATCATTTTGGGCTCGTTTACTTTATTTTCAAATTTTCATTCTGTTTCCAATAAAATAAACATATTAACATGAATAGTCAAATGAATGATATCCAAAATGGAGATTACTGGTGCAAGAAACAAAAATATATTTGAAAATGGTGAAAACAACTTTGTATCATTTTTACCATTTCCTAATATGATACGTCTTGACTTTGTAAATCTTCTCATTTTGTATATTATCTCCTTGATTACATGTGCACTAGTATGTGTACATTATTGAAAATTTGAAAACAAAGTAAACGGACCCTTAGTTACGTTGTTTTGGAAGTTAGTCAGAACTCCATGTTCATCACATGCAATGCAATACAAGAGAAACAGTGAGTGGAATGAAAGGGGAAAAAAGAATACAAAGAGACGCCATCATTGCAAAAGATGGGGGGAAGACTGGTGAAGGAACTAAGCTATAATTACTTTAGTTTCAAATAACATAGCTAAACAGTGCCATGAGCCCATCAGCATGCTTTACGTTGTACAGAACAAAGACCATCATAGGTATTTTGCTTTAACTAATACTTTGAGAGCAGCATGCATGTATCAAAGTTATCTGTATCTTATGATACATGCAAGTCTTATCTTGATTCGGCACAAAACTGAAGTCAATCAAAATATGAATCTTTAGTGTTTATCTGTTTAGACATGAAATCCCATTTTGAATATTGATTTATTATGATGCCTCTCAATTCACTAATGAATCCCAATTTATCATAATGAATCACAGCTTAAATTGAGTTTACACCGACACTTTTTAATCAACTCCCTATAACCAACCAATTTTCTTTGTCATTTGATGTATGAATTGAATTATGAATTATTTTGAGGTTTGAAAATACCAGGAAAATAATTTTGTTATGCCACATGTTTTGCTTAAAAATATCATAATTTTTTTTAATAATGAACCTTCCGGTTCATAATAAGATTCTATTCACGATTCAGAAAATCAGTATAAGATTCACGACTGGAATCTTGATTTGATAACCACGGCATATTTTCCCTAAAATGTTTTCAGTAAGTAAATTCAAAAAATATTGTTCATTCATCCTGAGTTAGACTAGCTAGCTCATGAAAAAACTTAACATCATACTTATGGCATGGAATCAGCAAAGTAAGATCCCTCCTGCCCACAATAAATAAATGCAGAATAAAACTGTGCTGTGCAGCCCTAGCATATTCATTACTACTAGCACCAATTCCAAATCTTTATGCACCAAAATCATAAAGCTTAAAATCCACACATAACAAACATTTCCTCATAAGTCATAATCAATTAATACCTGTGAGCTCTGTACTTCTGATTTGAATTTGGACAGGTTGGACTCTTGAATCATTTCAGTCTTAAAAAAACAGAAATCGCTCATATCAGTACACAATTTGCGATATTTCAAGATTCTAAAATAAAGCCCACCATGACATTTTGCAACACAAAGGAAAATCGTACACCCCTAAAGAATTAAAGAATCACAGCAACATAAAACAAGTGTATCACCAAACATTCAAAATGATTCTAATAAATGGTACAATTTGACAAGCTAAATCGGGGACTCGCTAAAAAAATGGCATGAAAGGTCTTACTTTCTGCATTTCTCCTTTTGATACCAACGCCTGAGAAACATTCTCAAGACTATCGTTCAAAACCTCAGTAATAGCAGCAGTTATAGCCTCCGCTTGTTTCGAAGGCACTCCTTGTCCCTCCAATCTCCTAACCTAGAAAACCACAATTGAAAACAACAAACCAATAAATTAAACCATAAGCAAAAAAATGCAATGCAACCATTAACCATTAACCATTAACCATTAACCATTAAGCTAAAGCAATAGAAATAAAGAAAAAGTGAAATTACAAGGGCCAATGTGTCAACGAGAAACAAGTGTTTTCCGCTGGATTTGACAAGTTGAGAATGTGAAAAACATCTCGTGGTTGAGAAATATGGATCGAATATTGAAGTTTGAAAGGAAGATGACGATACTGCTTTCGAAATCCCTAAATCTCGTGCTCCGGATAATTGTCGCATGTGTCTACAAACCGCGGCCATCAAAGAACTGTAGCGTGAATTTCAGGTTCCGGATTCGAATTTGATTGATGGCAACGTTCTGGGCGATTAAAACTAGCACAAGAACAAAACAAGAAAACTTCGGCCAAATTAAAATTGATTAAAAAATATATATAAATTATTATTTGTATAGGGAAAAGTTGCGAAAACTGCACGGGTTTGGACAACGCAAATTCAGTCTCTTCCTTACCAAACGTATGTATGCTTACTTCTTTTTTTTTTTGGTTTAGTGGTCTTTGTTGTTTGTTTATCAATGACTCAACTTCAAATAAAATTACTTCTTTTTTCTTTTTATCAATGAAGAATAATTATTATTTTGTTTATGTCTAGTACAGACCCATGGTTTTTTTTTACAAAATCAAAGGCAACTTGCAATGCATTACAAGGAGGAATATCATTAACGATACTATTTTTAGATTAATAATTAACCGTCTTAGATAATGAATGGATAATTATATTTATTTGACGTTTAATAAACTCTATTTTAAAGTTAGAGAAATTTAATAACAACGATATGACGGATTTAATAATTAAACTAAATTCAGAATTTCCATCAAGATTAGTGTTGAGGGTTTGGACCATTTTTTGAGAATCGCTTTCAAACACAATGTGGTCTAGGTGTATAGAAATAGCTCCCTGAATAGTCTTTTTTAGAGTCAAAGTTTTTGCTTCTAAGATGAAAAATGTACCAACATCTCAAACTATATCTGCAGTAACGAAATTACCTAAGTTGTCACGAAGACACCAACCACAATTCATTGTACCATGGTAACGGTTAAAATCCGCATCCACATTACATTTTAGTCAACCAACCGGAGGCGGAATCCAATGCAACAGATTATGGTGGACAATCCCGATATCATGAGTTTGTTGTGTAGAAAACCATTCTTGGCACTTACGCAAAGCTAGCCAACCGAGTTTAGAATCCTCCTCCCTTTCATTATGCCAAATAAAATCGTTTTTATTCTTCCTCATCCCCTCAATCATAACAACAACTCTACAGACAATCTTTTTATCCTCCTTACTACACAAATCAAGGATAAGTGACTTAGGATCGTGAATAGAGAGTAAACGAGGTGCAATAACATCATACAAACTTGTGGTCACTAACATGAACTCATTTCTGAACACCCAAAGAAAACATGTTAGTTATCTTCGTTATTGTTATCACACAACTGACAAACTGGCGAGCAAGAGACATGATGTTGATGAAGTCTCATCTTAGAAGGTAAGCAACATTTACAAATTCTCCAAAGTAGTTGTTTAACCTTAGGGAGAGCTTTAATATTCCACAGGCTACTCCAATTATCTTCTTTTCTCTCTCCGAAACATACCTCTTTTGGGACCTCCTCCAAATTCGATATCCCGATCGAACACTATAACTATCATTTTGTTCCTCTTCCAAACCAGTCTGTCATCCTCTACATCCTCCACCAACGGGACTTGTAAGATGTCCTCCACAACAGCATAATCAAATAATTCACGTAACATCTGCATATTCCATTGTTTAACATTAGGCAACATAAGGTCTTTAGCATTAATATTATACACACCTTGTTTTTGAGGTCCACTCAAACACCCTTCTCTACTTCCCTGAATCCAAGATTCATTCATTACCTTGATATTACTTTCATCTTCTATTCTCCACCTACAACCAAGAGCTAACACCCCATAGCCTTCCAAATATCCCTCTACACAAAACTCAGATTATAACCAAGACTAGCATCAAAGAAAGATGTTCTAAGATAATACTTTACTTTAAAGATTCTGGATACTAGAGTCTGAGGATTTTTCATAAGAGATGACAAACTCTGATTGTTCCTCTGACACACATTTATCCAACACTAACTTCATTTTATTCGCAAACACTTTAGACACTACTTTATAAATCACATTGCAAAGCAAAATGGACACTTAAGATGGACTTTCCCTACACCCTAAACAAACTCTAATTGTTCCTCTGACAAACATTTATCTAACACTAACTTCATTCTTTTCGCAAGCACTTTGGACATTACTTTATAAATCACATTGCAAAGCAAAATGGGCCAAAAATATTGGATGTTGTTAGACTTAACACACTTGAGAATCAAACAAATATTGATATCGTTAAGAGAATATGGAAAATACTCTCTCTCTCCAACCAATTTATGGCTCCTACGAAAACATCATCCCCAATAACTCTCAAAAGTTCAAAAGAAAAGCGGGATTAAATTTTTTTAATGTGAATAGATTGTAGGGTTCCAATACATATGCATATCATCATCAAATGACTTTGCACAATTTAATAAGAGAAAATGACAATTTAATAAAAGAAAATATATGGTGTGATGAATCACTGACAATCATATACCTCGTCAAGTTAGACTGTAAATTTTTATTATTTATATGATCTATTATAAATATATGAAATGTAAAGTATTTGGAAATACCACGTATAACGGCTCTCTGATTAAATGTCTAAACTTTTTTTATTTTAGAATTAAAAATGACTATTTAAAATTTACTACAACCATATTCATTTAACAATTAATGAGACTGATGTGTCACTCTCACAAATTTTCTTACTTTTTTTTTTAACTTTATTTTATTTTATAGTTATACATAAAAGTTGATTCACTTCTCTATCAAAAAATGAATAGTCATTGTTCAACTTTTAATAAAAATTTAAATTAACATTTTACTTAATTAGGGTGATATCCGTGCCTTCGCACGGATATCCGTTCCGATCCTCTCATTTTTGTTCAATGTTGACGTTACTGCATACACATATATATATATATATATATATATATATATATATATATATATATATATATATATATATATATATATATATATATAAAAGTTATTTTTTGATTTTAAATAAAATGAAAAAATGATTCATTTATAATAATTTATTTATGTATTATAAAAAAATGGGCTAAGTAAAAATAGAAATATAAAAAAATAAAATCTATTATATAATAATTAAATGAAGATCATTTTGATTTTATCATATTAACATAATTAAATAGTACTTATATTAATAATATATCTATAAATAAAATAAATATATAAAATTAAACAAAATGATTATTATTTATTTTTTTATATCATTGATAAAAAAATAATTTTATAAAACAAACACTAATAATATTAAATTATTATAACATAAAGTCACTATAGGTATTTCAATTTAATGAGAAATAATAATTATTAAAGTTGAATAATGTGGTCTTTTAATTGGGTGTGAAGACTTATTATTTTGATTGTATATGAAACTTGAAGACTGTACACGTATTTCAAATATGAAAGCATTCTCTTTTATCTACTTAAACCAATTATAATAGTGATTAATAGAGTTTTGTAATCATACAATATAAAATACATATCTTTCATGTTGTTTCTCGTAGAATTTTGTTCAACTCACATATTTGTTGTTCAATTGATCTTAAAATACAGTTTTATAATGTGAAAAATCAAAACATAGAAATATATGAGGTAACTAAAATAAAAGAAGAGAACAAAAAACAAAATCTAGAATATTTTCAAAGATTTGGTTTCTAATTTTTCTCCAAAATTTATTAACCATGCAAAATCTTTGAGATAGAAAGAGATAAAGAGAGAGAAGTGAAAGGTAGAGAAAATAATAAATATGAGACATCTCAAAATATATAAATTTAACATGGTTACACTTTACTATCTCAAAATGTATTCCTAGAAATCTAATGCCATCATTGACCAACTAAAAACCAGAATCATTTATCATGTGACTATATACCATGATATTTGTATTTGTTTAAGATTATTTACTTCTACGGTACTCTGTACCAGAAACTTCAATATTTTAAAGCACAGTTTAAACACCCACATTTTCAACAAACTATAATTATCACAAAATACAAATGATAATTATTTCTCCAACTTAACAAAAGAAGAGGTATGAAAAGCATAAGGAATATTCTATGTATGTAATGTTCCATAGTAAAATGTGATAGAAACAAACATTAAAAAAATAAATGATTGTAGTTTTGCTAGATATTTTTATGATGGAATCCGCTAAAGTTTGATTTGATCTCATATACTACAAGTTAGAGGCTAGAAAACAAAGAGACTTAAGTTGATGCTTTGATCATTGTTGACTACATTTTCCCTTTCTTTTGCACGGGCATTGTTAACATGGGTAACATTAACAAACACATGGCGTGCAGCATCGCCTGGATCAACGAACGGAGGCGAAACATCAATTTTAGAAGATCGATTAACACTAAACGGTGTAACGAAAGCCTTTGAATTTGATGAAGGTGATGCATAATAACATTCTAAAACACCTTCATTTAATGATTGAATAGAAATTAATTATTTCAAGATGATGATGATAAAATACAGCAAAGAGCAACAAAGAAAAGTGAAGAACAAATATTGTAGATTCTAAAGTTGATTCACTTCTCTATCAAAAAATGAATAGTCATTTTTCAACTTTCAATAAAAATTTGAATTAACATTTTATAGAGCAATCAAAAATCACGTAGAAAGACAAACAAAGTTACTCGGTTTCAATCATAAATATTTGACACAGGGCAATTATAAATTTTAATGGCTCAGATTGAAAGTTTAAAAATCAATGTTTAAAAAATAAAATAAAAAGAGAAACACAGGTATCTTGGTCATGTCACACTTCCTCCTTCCGGCGATAATCAGACCCTTGCCTTTCTGCTTTGTTCTTCATTTTCCTTTTTTTTTTTCTAGCTTTGGAATTAACATATGTATTTGAGATTACTATTGGAAATATAGTTTAGTTAATGTCTATAATTCTCAATGCTTATTTTTTAATAGAGTCTTTTGGCATTTTCATTTTTAATATAAATATGCTACATAGGTTATCAATATTGTAACTTATTCATTCCTCTATTTGAATATACATTAATAGTCCTCTTTGTTATCATTCATTGCTCATTCTTCTTCTTCCCTTTCATTACCTTGCACCAACAAATTGATAT